GCTCCTGCTAAGATGGCCAATTTCAGAAGGTGATGCTGGGGGATTACTGCTCTGCTGCATGGTAATTATGTCACAGAATGCCACAGGGCTATATTTGAGCCCCCATCCTGCTTAGCATTGACATGAAATTGTTCTGGTAGTTATTCAAAGATAGGGAAAGAGCTGTAAGCAATATGTGGGCAATACCTAGCTCTATCAGTCTGTCATGAAATCCAGGTCAGGCAGTGGGTATTCTGGTAATAGACTGGATGAGGGCCAAACTCAGCTCAGTCCAGAGAGGATGGAAGCACTATTAGAGGATAGTTCATCTGCCCAGCTAACTGATGTTTAGTCTGTTTTGAAGGCGGCTATACTCTTCCAAAAAGACCTGATGCATCATTTTGGAGTACACTTGCTTGGTGGCATACAGCATCCTCAGTCAGCTTAAACTGATATACAAACTATATGTTTATGTGGACAAAGATATCCTAGCCACAACTATCCCATGCTCTGATCACCCCTTGTTAAGTGAAAAAAAAAGTATACATGGGGTAGCCTATGAAAATGGTCTGTAAACTTCAGTTGGTACAAAACAGGGCAGTGAGACTATTAATGGGGACAGGCCAATGTGATCATATTATGTCAGTTATTTTCTTCTCTACCATCTGCTGGGCCCAATTCAAAGTACTGATATCAACATTCACAGGCCAGAACAGATTAAGTTACCTGAAGGATCATCTCTTCCCACATATAACTCCCCAGGCCATATATCACATTTTGTGGTTCTTCTTCAGCAGCCCCCCATCCCCCATCAAAGGAATTGAGATGGATGCTTACTAAGAAGAGGGCCTTTTCTGCTGTGGAATCATGGCTATGGAATACATTTCTCAGGGAATCATGCCTGACATCTACATTGTGTTCTTTCCAGCACCAGGTGAAGACTTATTTTTCCAGACATTTTAGCTTTTCAATCTGCTTTCAATCTGGTAATTTATTTTAAATGTTTATATGCTGCTAAATTCTATTTGGTTATTATTTTTATCTTATATGCTGCAATTTTAAATTATTTCATTTCATTGTTTGGTGTTAATTGTTGTGAACCTCCCAGAGAGCTT